GAGACCATGGTCGGTGTAAGACATGAAAATGTATATATATAAATGATCAAGGGTTCATGAGGAAAGGAGGGTGAGGGGGAAGGGAAGAAGGGAGGGAGGGGGAAAAATGAAGAGCTGATACCAAGGACTCAAATAGAAAGAAAATGTATCAAAAGTAATGATGGCAACATATGTACAAATGTGCTTGACACAATGGATGATGTATGGATTGTGATAAGAGCTGTAAGACACCTCCCACCCCAATAAAAGGACTTCTTTTCAATTAATTGAATTGAGAAAATTCTAACAGTGGAGATTCTTGCTGAAATCCTCAAGATTTAATTGAGGAAAGATGAAGCTGGCATCACACACAAATGCAGATAGGCCTTAGGTTGAATGCTCTAAGTCATCCAAGGTCTTATCTTCCCTCTTATCCAACCCTACTCTTCACATCACTCTCTCCTGCCCTCCTCCTGAGGATTTAAAGGCCTGATTTCACTAAGAAAAGAACAGAAGAGCCAGCTGTGGATTGGAAACTAGATAATTAAGAGATGTGGAGATATGAAACAGTGGTGGGAGGTCTGGCCTCAGAGAGAAGGACAGGCAATGGAGGAATCTCAGAAATGTGTCTGCTCAGCAGAGGAAGGCTGCACATTGAGAATTCTCTAAGCTTTTCTTATCTCCTTAAAGCCCCAGTAGAAGAGGTTTGTGTTACATGAGGTGACTGCCAAGGCATTTTGTACCTCTGAAGTGTTTTGCTTTGTTTTGTTTGTTTTCTGAAGAGGTCAACAGAACCATGCTATACTTTCTAAAAACAAAAGCAAACCATTAACAACAACAATAAAATATAATTGTTAGGTAGCTAGCTTAGGGATGGGGTTGTCCTTCCCATGCCTGCCAAGGCCCCCATAGAGGAGGTTGGAAAGACATCGGGCAGCCTTTGGACATCTATGGGAAGAGCCCAAACTGAGCATGCACAGAGTAGGATCCCCAGAACAGGTAAAACCTAAAACCTCGCCTCCACCTTAGGTACATCACACAGGTAGGCCTAACTCAGCCAAAAAGGTCAACCAATCTCTTCAACCACACCTTTCCAGCCAGAGGTGTTGAAAGCTGGCTACTACTGGAAAGCCTTTCTCTCTTATCCTCTCCTAGTCAGTGGCAGGTGGAGGGTGAGGGTCTCCCTCCCCCACGTGGGCCTTCATGCCCCTGCTCCGGGCCTACTAGGGACCCACAGCCTCTTGGCCCACATGCTCTTAGCCTCTAGGGTTCATGGGGTCCTGGCCTCCTGCCCCCCACCAAGTTCTGCCCATGTGGGTGCTCTTTTCCACCTGGTTGTTTGTGCCAAGTTGTGAACTCCAGCGCAGCTTCCATGAGTCTTGGCACATTTTCCAGAAATAGCGTGTACCGTTCTGAGACTGTAAAACCTGAAACTTGTCCTGTCCTTCATAAAAACTCACATGGATTACAAAACATGCTTCAGTGTGAATTCTTCTTCAGTGTGTAAAGCAAAGAACCGAGGGATAACCCACTCCAGAAACCTAACATGATTGCTTTAACATGTATTACCGTATATACTCTAGTATAAGCTGACCTGGATATCAGCCAAGGCACCTAATTTTACCACAAAAATTGCATTAAAAATGTGCTGAAAAACTCGACTTACAACTGAAAAAGAGGGAGAAAAACAACAACAAAAATCATGGGTAGTCAGGGGCACAGGGCACTAACCCATCCAAGAGGAGGGTGTTGTTTATATCTCCACAGGGAAAGAGACCAGACTTCAACCCGGTGCTCCAAGACATGAATGCAACACACTGGCATGAAGCAGGGAACCAATAGAGAGGCCCGAGGGGCCAGCTCCATTACCAACTAAGTGGACAGCCGCCCCTCCCCCCAGAAGAATTCATATCAGAAGACAGCACTGAAACTACAGCTCAGGGAGAGGGACATGTCTGATCAGAGCACACAGGAGCAAATGAAGGGGGAGGAAGAGAGAGTGGAGCACATCCTGGCCCACCAAGCCCTGAGGACCATATCCCTGCTCAGAGCAGCCAATACACAGAGAGGACCATATGGCTGGCCCCACTACGAGACACAACATCCCTCACTGACCCATAGCACTATGGGGAACAACACTGGAGACACATGGCGGGAATTGCACCCCATCTGACCCCACCACACCGAGGCCAAGCACTAAAGGCGTGCAACAGAACAGCAAGGGCAGCAGAGCAATGAAGTCCCCAGGGAACACCAAAAATAGACTCTGGGGCCAGGGCATGGTGCCCTATCAGCAGCTGGAAAACACTTGTAAAGCCAACAAATAGACCTTGAACTATTTATAGACTTTTCTTTTTTGTTTTTGTTGGAGTTATTGTTTTATTTTCTATTGTTGTTTTGTTTTGCTCTGTCTTGTTTCTACATATTATTATCTCTGCATGTCTATCTAGATAAGATAGGTGGGATAAACAAGCTGGGGGAGAAAACAACAGGAAGACAGTTCCCGGGGTGACATGAGAGAAGGGGAGGCGGGGGAAAGGAAGTGGGTGTTAACAAACCCAGGGACAAGGGAACAACAAGTGACCGAAAATTGATGGTGAGGATGGTGTAGGAGGTCTGGTAGGGCTTAATCAAGGGCAATGTAACTGAGAGGAATTACTGAAACCCAAATGAAGGCTGAACATGATAGTGGAACAAGAGGAGAGTTAAAGGAAATAGAGGAAAGAACTAGGAGGCAAAGGGCATTTATACAGTTATAAATACAGACATATTTATATATAATGATGGGAAATAGATCTATGTACATACATTTATAGGTTTAGTATTAAGGTAGCAGATGGACATTGGGCCTCTACTCAAGTACTCCCTCAACACAAGAACACTTTGTCCTAATAATCCGGCATTCTGAGATGCTCACCTTCCTGACACGATTGCTGAAGACAAATGGGTGCATTAGCAAATGTGGTGAAGAAGCTGATGGTGCCCTATCAAAAGATATAGCATCTGGAGTCTTAAAGGCTTGAAGATAAATAAGCGGCCATCTAGCTGAGAAGCAACAAAGCACACATGGAAGAAGCACACCAGCCTGCGTGATCATGGAGTGTTGACGGGATCAGGATCATCAAAGACCCAGAAAAAAACAAGCATGTCAATGAGAATGGGGATGGCAGGGGGAGGGCGGAGTGGAGGCCCAAAGCCCATCTGCAGGCAACTGGACAGCCCCTCACAGAAGGGCATGGGGGAGAAGACAGGCCAGTCCAGGTGCAGTATAACATGGATGCAACATAGTTTTCCTCTGGTTCTTTAATGCTTCCTCACCCCCACTATCATGACCTTGATTCTACCTTACAAATCTAGCTAGACCAAAGCATGTACATGAGTATAGATAAGAGATAGAAACACAGGGAATATAGGACAGAGAAACTCCTCAGGACCAATATTGAGAGTAGCCATACCAGGAGGGTAAAGAGAAGGTGGGGGGAGATATGGGGAACCGATTACAATGACCTACCTATAACCCCCTCCCAGAGAGATAGAAAACAGATAAGGGGGTAAAGGGAGACATTGGACAGTGCAAGACATGGAAAAATATTAATAATTATCAAGGGTTCATGAAGGAGGGAAGAAGAGGGAGAGAGGGGGAAAAATGAGGAGCTGATACCAAGGGCTCAAGTAGTAAGAAAATGTTTTAAATATGATGGCAACAAATGTACAAATGTGCTTGACACAATGGACGTATGTATAGATTGTGATAAAAGTTGTATGAGCCCCCAATAAAATGGTTTTTTTGTTCAATAAAATGATTTTTTTTTAATTGGCTTATACCTGAGTATAAACGGTATGTTTTCAGACAAGTACGTTTTAACAGCTTTTGAAAGATAGGTTCCTGGTGATGTGGTTACAACATGATGGGTAAAATTGGTGTTACTGAATTGTACATGAGAAAATGTCAATTGATCAAAAAGTTGGGTTACTGAGGTCACACTGTTCCTTAGAAGGAGCAAAGGTGAATTTATGCAACGCCACGTGGTCTATTCTTAGAGGCGAAGGTGCTCACGTCTCGCCCATTGGGTTGTTGTCCTAGAAACAGTAGGAGGACACAGGCAACTCGGAAAAGCACTGGTGCAGCAGTGCACCCTCACATGGCCCACTTCACCGGGACGGTGTCTTTCCCAGGGAATGGGCACGTCTGTTCCCCGCCCTCTGGTGCCCAGGGCGGTGCCTGTAAGTAGGGCAGACTCACTGATGAGGGACATGCATTTTCCGTCCACTTACCTCATCAAAAAATGGGTTGTTCCCTCTCTTGATTCTTGTTCGGTGTGTCTGGCCACAGACGTGGACTTTGACTACAGGCTTGATGTTGTTGCCACTTAACTGCCGGCCCTCAATCACTCTGACTCGGATCTGCAAGCATGGAAGGAAGGGTATTGTTACTTTTCCTGACCCAGCAGGTCACACAGTGTACAGGAATCCTCGTGTCAGCTTCCGTTTTTCCACCTTTAAGGATTGCTAAGACCAAGCTGGTGCCCAGGCTCTGTGTGTGTGTGTGTATTTATTCTGTATTTATTCATCAGGCTTGTAGAAGCCAAGAGCTGTAAAAAACACAGTGCCCTGCCATCAAGCTTATTTCCTACTCCTAGTGAGCCTGTAGGACAAGGCAGAGGGGTCCCTTGGGGTTTCGGAGATGTTAAATCTTCACAGGAGCAGTTTCATCTTCCTCACATGGTGCAACTTCAAGGGTTACAATCACCGTGGGGTGAGGAGCTCCACACATAGCCTACCACACAGGCCACCATGACTCCTTCCATGAGCAGCAGTGGCCTTGAAATCGTTCTTGGCTAGTCCAGGACACAGCAAGGCAGGAAGCTACGACTCAGGTTCCAGGCTGATACCTGGACTTCCTGGTGTACAAATTCAACTTCACTGTTGTCTCTCACATCCAAAGCCCTGCCCAGAGCCATGAAAACCGGAAAATCTACATTTCTTCCCTTGGAGTAATTCTTTCCTACCGCAAAGGGAAGGATTAAAGTTCTAGTTTTATTTCTCACAAGAGCCTATCAGCTTGACTGTGTCCACTGCTTCATGCAGAAGAAAGATGGAGAGCAGTTCTTGGTGGACATATGTCCTGGGGCCTCTTTTTTCCTACTTGAGCCCTTGCTGATGAAAACAGACCCGTCATCGGAACTGTTGAAACGGTTGCTAATGCAGCGGTTAAACAAGGTTGTAAGGCACTGGGCCTATTTCTACCTGGAAGTCCTGTGGCTTGTTAGACAGCATCCGCCGGCTATTCCTTCCTTTGGTGAGTCTCTGAGCAAGATGAGCTTCTGATCCTACCCCGGTGGGCATCCTAGGCCCAGGCCCTCTGATGGTGCCATCCAACCTGTCCTCGCCCCCTTCATCTTCTTCCTCCTCTCCTAAAATTAAAAAAAAAAAGGTTACAGATGATCTTTACACTGTCCATGTCTGGACACTGATTCTCCTGTCATGCTGAGTTTTCTTGTCATTGGGTGTTCAGCGTTCCTAAGGTGGCAGGAGAAGGAGTTGCTCTTGGTTGCACCAGGTTGGGACTTGGTGGGACATCAATACATAGTGTCTTTTGACACCTGTGCCTGTATTGCATCAGGGCCCTCATTCAGGCTGCCTTCAAAGAGAAGGGAAGATTCTTCAGAGAGAATATTTAGGAATAAAACGAACCAGAGAAATGAAAAATGTGTCCAAAGAAAACAACAATGACATACATACACACACACACAGAGAGAGAGAGAGAGAGAGAGAGAGAGAGAGAGAGAGAGAGAGAGAGAACGAACACGAACTTGAGATTGCTTAGGTACAATTAAATACCTCATGGGACCTGGTTCCTCGGTTTGGAGGTTTAGGGCCATGCTTTTAAGGGACATACCAGTTAATGGACCTAAAATTATGCGTCTTAAAACCAGCAGCAACTACCCAGGGGACAACAACTGGTGTGTTTGCGGGGAGCACCAGAGAGTCAAGAGCAGGAAGAAAGTATGCACTGTATGGCTGGTTGCCTCCATGCACAACGGGGAATCAGAAGACTGGAACGCTGCCCTGCTGCCATTGCGAAAGACTCTGATCAAAGACTTCATAGAGAAATCCCAATCAAGGAGGGAAATGCAGAAATAACTCTCATGGAATCCACACTTTCTGGATCTATAGAGGCTAAATAAATCCCGTAGCCATGGCTTTCAGGTGATCTTTAAAATTGGAATCTAAAATATTACTAGGTGTTCTTAAAATCAAACAAGAATTTGGCTTAACTAGTGAAAATTAGGTCTTAACCATCATGCTTTTTAAAGAATTCTCTATATGGACAATAGCAAAGATTAGATAAGAATTCGGGTGGGGGGGTAGAATTCAGGGGGAGTGAGTTCATGGGAAGAACAACTCAGAAAAGGAGGGTGAGGATGGTTTTACAACTGAAAGAGTGTGATGCTAACAAGCGGTCCATGGGGACACACTTGAATTGGTTATGCTTTGCTATGTATATTCTTAACAGTGCAACAAAACGAGAGAGAGAGAGAGAGAGAGAGAGAGAAAGAGAGAGAGAGAGACAATGCTGTGGATTACTGGCATCTTATACAGAGAGGCTTCAACTCTACCCTTCCTGCTATAGTGCTTCTTTCTAGAGATGCTGTTTGTGGTAGTTACACAATTTCATGTCAACCTGATAAAAGAATGAAGGGGTGGAATGCTGATCCCTCCTTGTGGGCATGGCATTCTCATGAGGATTCTGGGAATTCTTTCTCTGTGCTGCACCTTCCTGTTGACAAGCTACATGGAGCCACGCTGATGGCACCCAGCGATGCCTCCACCGTCATTGGATCCACAGGACTTTCCACCCACCGACCTGTAATCTTCCTGCATTCGGCATCATTGCATGGCTGTGTGAGTCTGAAGAGGAAATTATGGGCTAATATGGGACTTATGGGCTAATATCGAACATGTGGACTTGATCTCGACTTGGCTGGGATGTGTTGATGCATAATTACATCTTGGTATAAAGTTCTCTCTTACACATATGCGTGTCGATGAATTTGTTTCTCTAGTTAACCTGATCTAACACAGTTCTGTCACCCTTCAGCTAGGAGTGACGTAACTACTTGCACCAACCAGGGGCTCTTTTTCTTCACAATTAACAATAATCAGTTCTTTTGACTCAACACTCTCTGGATCCATACGTCACACTTTCTTCCAGGAATCATAGACCAAGAGAATGGGAAACTATAGAGATCCTTGGTCTAACCTGCCTCCTTGCTCCACTTCACAGAAAAAACGGAGGGTCAGAGGACTGGCAGGGTTTGCCCGCGTTAACTTGTTAAGAGCAGAGTTAAAACCAGGACCAAGGTTTCAGGATACTGGGAGGATCCTGGAGAAACTAAAGATAAGAACTAGCTCTCCATCCTGCTAGGCCAGCTGGACCGCTTTGTCCTTATCCTTGAAATCATGAGGTGAGTGATACATATCCAACTTGAGGCACTTACATCTAAGCGCTTAAAATATCTTCCTCCTCTTCTTGACCAGGTGAGGTCTTCTCAAGTTTCATGTGAGCTATATTATCTTCAGAGAGGCCTGCCCCACATCTCCCATAGGGAGCTCCTGGCGTCTTCTTCTGGGCGCTCACCACCCCCGTGTCATAGTCCTGTACGCGCTTGGTAACCAGTAGGCCTGCCCGACTACAACACACTCTTCAGGAGCAAAGCCTTGCTCTTGCTTCTTTGTATCTGCTCTGGTGCCTTACCCCAATCCTGGAGTGTACAAGGGATGAGGTGGGATGAGCAGAGGAATGAGGGGTAGCCCAGGAACCAGGGCCTCTGCATGTACCTTACGATGCTCTCTGGCCGTTTGGCAAATCTGCCACACTGTTCTCAAAAAAGAACATCCAAACAGCTAACTGGGTGCTCCTCTGAACCTCAGCACCAGCCTCAGGGAAGCACAGGGTGTCAGACTTCTTCCCCTGTAAATGCATTCCGGATTTGACGAAGATTGGACCAGATGGCTTTTAAGCCCCGCAAGCAACTAGTACTGACTGACTTCAATCATACTGAGCCCACATTGACCTTCCTCCTGAATGAGGACTGTTCCGTGTTGGGTTTGTGGTGGTGGACAACAGCAATCAGCAAAAAGAGCAGGCTGGGTGGTACAAACGGTCTGATCCGGGCTACTCACTTAAGGGTTGGTCCTTCGAATCTACCCAGCAGCACCTCCGAAGAGAAGGCTTCAAGCTAACAAGAAACCCTTTGGAGTGGAGGAGTTCTGGGTCTCCATGGGGTCACCATGAGTCAGAATCAACTCCTTGGCAGTGGGTTTTTGGTTGACGTTTTCCAACAGCTCCTTTTCCGTGTTGGGCTCAGAACTGCTGTCATTCGGTGGCATCGCGTCTATGCCAACTCACAGCGAGCCCATGTCTTAGAACAGAATGAAGCCCCGTCCTGAGCCATCCTGACGTGTGCTTGAGCTCCTCGGTTGCAGCCACCGTGTCAATCTTTGTCAATCTTTCTCATGGAGGGCTTTTTTTTCCCCGGCCCCTCGACTTCCCCAAGCATGATGTCCTTCTCCAGGGACTGGTCTCCCATCCATGAAACTCTTGGTGTGTGCTCGAGAAACAGGCTGTGCTGCGGGTTGTAAAAAGCCAGTTACTCCTAAAAACCCCCTTTGCTGTTGGGTTTGCTGGCTGCCAGGGATGGTCTGAAGAGCCCAGCCTGAGTGGGCTGTGCGGCCAGCACGTGGTCTTTCAGCAGGAAATCTCCCCTCGGCGTGGCAGGAAACTGCACAGGATTAAACAATGTGAGGTGAAGAGCCCCACAGAGGATGAGGGAGCCCTTAAGCCATTGCTGAACACACCCTGCGAACAAGCTGTGTCATTACCCAAATGTTAGCAAACTGTCCTGGCATGCCCGTTAATGAGGCCCAGGAAGAGGTTGATCCCCAGCCAAGTGGCTCTACAAAGAATGACTCTTTCCCAGCCATGGAGGCCAACCTTCAATTGGGAACTGCTGACTGAAAAGGAAGTCCCTGGTGAATGGTGAATGAATGGGAATGGGTCCGTCCCAACCCAGGGTGACCTGGGCAAGAACTACGGAGTACCACCCTAGCCGGTGAAACTGTGGTCCTCCAATAGCTCCTTCGTACGATCTGCAGCTGTCAACTCCAGGCCACGGGCACCATCATGGGGTCTGAGGCGAGGCAAGTAGACAGGGAAGGTGGGAAACTGAGGAAGAAATCCAAAAAATAACAACTGGAAGATCTTTGCGATGGACTTAGAATCACAAGTTCAATTACTTGGTACCAGGCAGAAACATTTCCTAACCTTGCCATTTGCTAGGGTAGTGGATTCAGAAATACATATATTTTAATAAGACAATGGTAATTTTTTTTCTCACTTGAAAGCATGTTCACTGAGAACCTTAAATTGTGAAATTATCATCTGTGATCTTGTTGATTGGAAAATAGCTCAGTGGAGCCCACCGTTTTGTATCTGACCAGTTCACGTCCTCAGGTCTACAGCCACTTTCCAACTTGTAGCACCCAATAGACGGCTCTGCCAGGTTTCTAATGCTGTGATCTGTACAGAAGCAGACGTCCACATTTTTCCTCCCATGAGCGGCTGGTGGGTTCAAACTGCCAGCCTTCCAGTTAGCTATTGAGCAGTTAACCACAGCACCAGCAGGGCAGTCACTCATAAAAGAAGGCTCAACTGGCCCAGCCCCCACTTCCTTCATATCTGTTTATGGAGGTCCTGGCAGGCCTTGCTCAGCCTGCGATACTAATTCTGCTTCTCACCACGAAGTCTTGAGAGCTGGTGGTACTGGGCAAAGAAGAATTGCATTACCATGGGCTAAAGGTCATTGCAAAATCATCAGAACAAAGGGCTGGTGTACTGCCATCTTCAGAGCAGGTTTTAAAAGGGCACAGTAGAAGAAGAAACAGTTCGTTTCCAAGCATGAAAACATGTACCGTTTGGGAGATAAGCAGGTTGATTTAGCTGAGTAAGAGATTTTCTGAGTGCCTCAAATGCTAGACGTTATCAAAGAAATGCCTGTGGCCAACGATGAGCAATTGTTTACCCTCCACCCCAATTCTGGGGTAAATAGCAGTAGATTTGACTAAGACTCTTATGACATGGTTCCAATACACGGGCCAGAGAAAAGCTGATGAGGAAAAAACATCCCACAAAGCTGCAGTGCACACATAGGCTTGCTGGGGAACCATGGTGGGCCTCTACCTTTGAAGAATTCTGGGAAACATTGCCCAAAGGGTTCCTCCTGAATCTGGACAAAATCAGGTCAACCAGGGAAAACTCTTAACTCCAGAGTTTCTCAAAGGGAGTCTGAAAACTGCCAACACTAGCATCTCCTGGAAGCTCCTGTTACCACAGACGAACTGAATTAAACCC